AATAATTAGTATATGTCTAGAACAGTCTTAGTCTGAGAGGTCTTCTAAGTCCTGTTAGAATATTATGTTTTTTGTGTTAATGTCTGAGTGTTTGATCTAATTTCTTGTTTTTTCTTCAACCAATGATACCTTGTTTTCAACCTTTTCTGTTCTACTACATAGATTTGTATTGAGGTTCTTTTCTTCCTTTCCTCCCTCCTTCCCTTCCTCCTTCTTTCCTTCCCTCCCTCCCTTCTTCCTTCTTTCCCTCCCTCCCTCCCTTCTTCCTTCCTTCCTTCCTTCCTTCCTTCCTTCCTTCCTTCCTTCCTTCCTTCCTTCCTTCCTTCCCTCCCTCCCTCCCTCCTTCTCTCCCTCTCTCCCTTCTTTCTTTTCTCTCTCCTCTTTCTTTCTTTCTCTCTCTTTCTTTCTTTCTTTTCTTGCTTGCTTTCCTTGCTTGCTTTCACAGTTGAGCTCTTCACTTACAGGATTCCAGTTTGCCTCCCCCCCACCCAGGTTTCCATCTCCTTATTTTCTCTCTCATTTCCTCTTTTGCCTTTTATAGTTCATTCAGCTGATTATTGTTTTTGCTCTTATTTGTTTTCTATTATTTTTTTAATTCTACTTGACTTTGTCCAGTTTTATAAACCATCTGTTCCTTTAGTCTTTTAGTCATTTTCTTATGTTTGTTTTATTTACTGCATTATTTAGACTTTTTCCCCTTCATTTTCATTTGCTATTGTTTTTTAGGTAGACATGTACCATTATTTATTCATAAATGTTGTGATCTTTCACTGGAAAATACCCATCTGGACTGAGAAGTTGAGATTTCAATCTCCTATAAACTTCCAGGAGATGATATATTGCAGCTTCATTAAGATGGGGTGATGACATAGTGGTGATGTAAGGATTAGAAGGACAAGTTCCCACTGACAGTAGTTGATTTCAGTCCTCAAGACACCATGCATATGTTTCTTCTCTGAGTCTGGTCCCTTTTGTGTTGCTGGATTCTTTTCATTTGCAGAGTAAAAATCATGCTGCTTTTTTCATCCATCTTCTTGCTCCTCTTTCCATCTTATTTCTTCTTTCTCTCTGAGAGTATTCTGAGGCCCTCATCAAGAGATGGAAGCTGTTCCTCTTCTCCTTATGAACCTTGTCTTGTCATAGTGACATTCCCAACCAGTAGGTTATAGCATAAGTGATGTTCTAGAACTTTTTTTTCCTGCTGGCCCTGGGGCTGAATTCAGGGCCTAGGCTCTGTCCCTGAACCTTTCTGTGCTCAAGACTAGTGCTCTACCACTTGAGCCACAGTGCCACTTCCAGCTTTTTCTGAGTAGATTATTGGCGGTAAGAGTCTTGCAGATTTTCCTGCCTGGACTGGCTTTGAGCTGTGATCTTCAGATTTCAGCCTCCTGAGTTAGGATAACAAGTGTGAGCCACCAGTACCTGGTGAGTCCAGGACTTCTTCCTGTTATCTTCTTTGTTCATTACCTTTCTTGTAGCTCATGTAAGATACCCAACTACTCTGGTAAAAAGATAATGTGGAGAAACTATGAGAGAACTTGTGGAGAGAGGGCCACAGCTGGGACTTGCCTTTTAGATGTTCTATACCAGGGTACCACAAGTAAGTGAAACCATCTTGTATCCTCTATACTATATCAGCCATCCACTGAATATTTCTGAGTGATCCTGTTTAGTGCCATATGAAGTAAAAGAGTCCCTCAGACCTTTTCTGCCTGACCTGAAAATTGTGGCCTATAATAAAATCGTTTACCTTTTAACCATTTTAATTTGGAATTGTTGTTCTATAGCAACAGATAGAAATCACTGAGTTATATACTTAGTAGGTACCATTTAGAACAATTTTCCATAGTTATTGAACTGATTCAGAGTCCTAACAATAGTACATGAGTGATATGTTGTTTTGCAGCCTTTCTAGTAATAAATGCTTCCCATCATTTTTCATTTTAACCATTATTGTATGTATAGTTATACCACATGATAATTTCAAGTTGCATGTCTTTGATGATTAGTGAACTTTTTTTGGGGGGGGGGGGTCCGATCATGGGGCCTGAACTATGGGTCTGGGCACTGTCCCTCAGCTCTTCAGCTCAAGGCTAGCACTCTACCACTTGAGCCACAGCACCACTTCTGGCTTTTTTATTTTTCTTATGTGGTGCTGAGGAATTGAACCCAGGGCCTCATGCATGCAAGGCAAGCGTTCTACCACTGAGCCACCTTCCCAGCCCCTGATTAGTGAAATTTTCAATAATTTTTTTTGCTATTTGGATATCATCATTTGATCTTATCAATATGTAGGCATGACCTCCAGGTAAATGAGACCTGCACCCTGCTACCCTCAAAGCCCAGTTGTCTTCAAGGGTTGGGCTTCACCCATCAGGCTTCCTCAGCCACTGGGCCAGATCCTGCTGCTGGGTCTTACTTGAGAATCTGACCCCTAGCCTTTCAGGGGGTTACCCCACATCTGTCAGGAGCTCCTGGCTGAAACCAACCACAAATGACCCTTCATCTTCTGAAAGGAAACAATGAGAAACATGTTTTTTTGAGTCCCACTGTCACATACCTGCCCACCACAAAATTGGACCTAGGGATAGCTTAGCCTTTGGACTTATCTAGCTATAACCAAAACTGTGCTCTTTGGAATCTTGTCTACAGAAAAACAGGGCCCATGCCTGCCCTGGTATGGGACAGGTCAAGCCAGATTTTCCAGAAAAAACTCTTGGCTGACTTTTCTGAGCTCTGCCTAGCTGTTGACTTAAGGGATCAAGAGTTGTGTTAACAAAGAGGGATGCCAGCCAGTACTGGTAGCCACCATGGAGGTAGCATGGTTTGGCTGGGTGTACTCCAGCGTTACAAATGCTCTCTTGAACCTTGGGTTTCTTTGGCTGGACTTGAGTGGATTCTCCCTGGTACTGCAGCTTGCCTTTTGGCTGTTGTGATTCAACACAACTACATGGATTCCCTCTGGGACCATCTTTCTTACCCGCAAGCTCAGGCTTTGAGAAGTTCTTGAACCAGGTGGTTCTCCAGCCCTCCCTCAGTCCTCATTCTCCTAGATATGCAGAAATATAGTATGGAGGTGGTGTTAATTTGGCCTTAGTTTCCATACCTTTGCTCATTAAGTGTCAGCCTGGGAAGAATGATCCCTTTTTATCTCCCTTCTCCTTGACTTCTTCTTGCCTCCAGTACCTCCTGTAGTCTGGCCTTCTAGCATCATGTAAAGCACTGAGCACAGAGCCACATCAAGGGGAGAGGAGTTGCTCTTATTGAGCTGACGTCCCGTGCCAGCTCTGGTGTTGAGTGTGTACTGACTTATTCAGTCACCACAAGAACCCCATGGAGCAGTCATGAACAAGAGCTATAAACTCAAAGCCAGGTCTCTCTTCTTTTAAGAGATGTTTATTGAGGTCTTTTGCACATTTTAAAAATTAGGTTATTTAGTTTCTTGCCCTTTAGTGGTTGGAATTATTTATGTATTTTGGGTATTAACCTATTATTGGATGTGTGGCTTATAAATACTTTTACTCAATGTATAGGTTGTATTTTCACCTTATTTGTTTACTTTGCTTCATAGAAACTTTTTAATTTAAAGCAATCTTATTTTTTCTATTTTTGCTTGATTATGGTTTTTTGGAAAAAAAATACAAAAACCCTTTGCTAAGACTTTTTAAAAAATAGTTTTACAGTCTCTGGTCTAACATCTAAGTATCTAATCCTTTTGAGGTGATTCTCATATATAAGGTAAAGGTTTGATTCATCTTTATGTAGGTACATTGAACGTAATTGTCCTCTTCCTATTGTGTGTTCTTAACACTTTTGTTGAAAATCAATTGGACATAGAGACTAAGTTTGTTCCATTGGTCTAAGTATCTGTATTTATGCCTATACCATGCTGTTTCTGATACCGAGAGTTTGTGATATAGTTTGAAATCAGAAAATATGGTGCTTCCAGCTTTGTTCTTTTTGCGTGGGTTTGCTTTGGCTATTCCATTCTTCTATATCATTCCAGTTGATATGTATTTCTTTTTCTAACTTCTTTTTTTTTTTTTGTAGGTTGTGAGGCTTGAACTCTGGGCCTGAGTGCTGTACCTCAGCATTTCAGCTCAAGGCTAGTGCCCTACCACTTGAGCTACAGGGCCACTTCTGGTTTTCTGGTGGTTTACTGGAGATGAGTTTTACGAACTTTTCTGCCCGGGCTGGCTTTGAACCGTGATCCTCAGATCTCAGCCTCCTGAGTAGCTAGGATTGCAGGCGTGAGCCACCGGCGCCCAGCTCTTTTTCTAACTTCTTGAGATGGTGATTATCTCATAAACTTTTTAAAGTTTGTATGCTAATATGTAAATTTAAAGCAATGAAATTTCTTCCTAAGCATATTAGTTTCTAAAAATTTTAACTGCTTCATTGAGATTAAAAACTATAAAATTTACTGTTTCAGCCTATAATTCAATAACTTTTAATTATAGAGCTGTGCCAACATCTCCACAACCTAGTTCCTGATTTTAGCATATCCTTGACTTTCTTGTCATGAAACTCAAAATTCCATGTTCTACAAACCTTTTATTTCCAGGCAAACTGAAATGGTTGGTTACCCCAACTTGGATAGTTTTTCAAGCAATGGTGTATTAGCTGGAAGAGGAAATGATTATCTGCCTCTCTGTCTATCTATCTATCTATCTATCTATCTATCTATCTATCTATCTATCTATCTATCTATCTATCTATCTATCTGTCTGTCTGTCTGTCTGTCTGTCTGTCTGTCTGTCTGTCTGTCTGTCTGTCTGTCTGTCTGTCTGTCTGTCTAGCTATCTATCTCATATCCTCTGGGTAGGCAAGGGATTGCATGTATTTTGCCAGTGAAAGAAGTAATCAGGTCAGTAGCTAAAGTGATTTGGGACCAACAAAGTGTGAGGCAAAGACTCAAAGGTGATGGAAGGAAGTCTTTATTTAGGATGGAGTGTGTAAGGGCTGGAGATATAGAGCCACTGAACATCAGTATGCAAGCATTCACATGACAGAATATTGAGTAAGCTCTTCCATCAAAGATATCCAGAGGCATTCTCTGCAGGCCCTGTCTCCCAGCCACCTTGAAGAGACTGAGACTCATGACACTCTGCAAACCTACACATGTCAGGAGCCATCAGGCAGCCATGATAAACAATCCTGCTCTCTCTAATCTCACAAACATACCCCCCAGATACTCTTAGTGGTTTCCCAGCCCTTCCAGGGATACACCTGTCCACCCAAACACCGTTTGTAAGGTTGTCACTTATTGATTCATGCAGTTGATCCTATGAAAAAAGGTAGCTGTACTAAAATCTGAGTGGTAAGGGTCTGAGGAAATCAGAAGGGAAGGAAAAGCTGAGAAGCCAAAAGAGAACATGAAGCTGGTAAAGGCCTAAAGAGTGACATGGCTGACCATCACACGAAGGATATTGGGGAGTGAGCTTAGCTTCTGATGGTGCAAAGTTGTGTTTTGTACCTTGGTTCAATCACCTGTGAAGGGAACAATCACTGGATGTGGCTTTGAGCTAAGATCGGAAAATGGACCTGTGAACTGTGTACCTGGGCCAGGTGCACCCTGAGAGCTGCTCTTGGTCTTCCTTTTCCTTCAGAAGCCCACTGGGGATGGAGATTGGGGACAAGAGAGCATTCCCTTGTCACCTACAAAGTTACATTGGGATTTATCACCTTCCCCATGAAGAGAAGGTTGTGGCTGACTTCCTCAATGATCAGCAACAGGAAGGGCCTGTTGAAGTGGAAAGCAGGGATGAATTGCCTGGGAAATGAGCCGAGGTCCTTGATGTCTTCCTCTTCTTCTCCTCCTTCGTCCACAGTCAGTTCAGCCCAGTGCTCTGCCTTTGGGGACCAAGGGTCACAGTGTTCACCAAGTAGGTACTGCACTTCCTGCCCCCCACCCCGGACCCTCCATGTGGTCCTGGCCCAGGAAATTCAGAATCCAGTCCTGGTACTGTCCAGACTAGAGACAGGACCTGGAACATCCTGTCTCCTGGTAATGACTCAGTGTAATCATTTATACAGCTCCAGGACACTGAAGCCCTCAGGCTCCCTGCCTGCCTGGTCTCCTGCTCTCACTCACTCTCTCACCCACAGGTAGCTTGGGTGTCTGGGGAAGAGCTCACCGTGTTCCTGTGATGCCCCGGCAGCTTGTCACACACTCCCTGACTTCCAGAAAATTCTTTTCTTTTTATTGACCCTATACACTCCTGCAAGCTGCCAAGTGCTGGCATTCTACCTTCTAAAAACCCTTGTTTTCCGACCCTTCTTTCCATACCCTTTCTTTCTTGATGGTCCTTCTCTAGCTTGTCCTCTGCTGGCCTCGGTAGCTGAGACATGGTCCCTTCCATGGGCTGGAGCTCTCATGCTCAAATTCCACTGGGAGCCTGCTTCCTCACTCACACGTTGCATGACCAGCCAAGCACCTCAGTTTGGTGATCAAGGTCCTGTGGCCCTTGGCCCAGGAGCTGGACCCATGGCCCTCCCCAGCCCTGCTCATCCATGGCCCTCCCCACCCATGACTGCTCACAGCCCTCCCCTGTCATTTGCTTTTGCCCAAAGCCAGCCAGTACTTGTGGCCACTTTCTCCTTCTGTTCTCTTTGCCATTAAAACTTCAAGATTCTTTCTTTGGGGAAGATTCCACTCCATTCTTGTGTAATGTAGACTCTCCTCCCCATGCAATTTACTTTATCAGACAGCCCATCCCTGCGCAACTCTCTTCAAGACTTGGGTAACGCGAGGTGTCCATCTCTGGGCCGAAGGGGTCAGACTGCACAGGCACTCAGCCTGAGGTTCCCCACTGCCTCCTTCCAAAGAGTGAGCTTGGCATGCCCCCTCCCTTGGTTGCCTCTGAGACTCAGGACAGCTGGTGGGGCTGATGTTTTACTTCACCATTTCCACCAAGCAGGGGACGGCCTTGGGGTGGCGGGTGGCATTTGGGTCCTGCTCAAAACCAGGAAGGTGAAAAACACACTCATCCATATGAACAGTACGTCCTCGTGGCCTTTGAACTTACCCTGGAGACCTTCATGGGTGTGGCTTGTGCTGTGATTCCGGAGAGGCCTGTGCGGTAACTGAAAAGATCCACACTGTTGGCCAGCAGCGCACCCTGCTCCAGTTGCGTTCTCCCCAGAAAGGAGAATTTAGGGAAATACAGCTTCCTCCTGCTACTCCAAGGGAAGAGAGGAGAAAATGGCTTCAATGCTATTTTTGGTGATCTACACACAGATGAGTGGAGTGGGATAGAGGGCGGTGTGTGGACTCTCAGCCCGCAGTAAGCAGGTATCCCCAGCTAGCTTCCTTTTCCCCTCCTGGGAACTCTGGGGACAGCTGCCCATGGTGTCTACTTTGCAAATGAGATAATAGGGCAGGGCAGGAGGAGGCTAAGAGTTTGCCCAAAGTCACACCATTTCTGAAAACACTAGGACTGACTCCTAACCAAAGCGGTGCTGCTGTTTTTCAGAGGGGTTGTAGCCAGCAAAACGAGAAAGGCTGTCAGATTGTCTGTTTGACTGTCTATCTTTTCCTATTTCCTTGTCTCTAAAACATCTTAAGGGCCCCCGAGCAGAAACTGCCTGCCACATTTTCCTGCTTGCTCCTGTGGTTACCTTTCCAAATTTGTTCCTCAAAAGCATAAGCTAAGAGCTGGTAGCTCACACCTGTAATCCTAGCTACTCACCAGGCTGAGGTGTGGGTTCAAAGCCAGCCAAGGTAGACAAATTGAGGAGATTCTTATCTTCAAATAATGAAAAAGCCAGAAATGGAGGTTGGCTCAAGTGATAGTACTGGTATCCTTGAGCAAAAAAGCAAGAGCATGAAGCCCCAGGTTCAAGCCCCAGAACTAGCATACACACACACACACACACACACACACACACACACACACAGAGGCAAATCCAAGTTGACTCGGAGACCCTTCCTGCGTAGCAGCTGGGTGGTATCTGTGTGCCTAGGAGCCCAGCTTTAGTTTCTCAACTGCTTTAGCCACAAGGAAGTGTGTATTCTTCCTTCTCCATCCAGAGCCTCTTCATGGCTCCATGTATAGAACTGAATGAACTGAGCAACAGAGAGCCACACCACAAGCCTGGGAGGGGCCTTGGAGACATGAAAAAATTCTCGAAGAGTCTCAATTCCATGTCTTTTCACACAGGCATTTGGGGGAACAAGGAAGCTGAAGGGCTGAGGACAGTGGCAGATTCTGCCTTCCAAAGCTCACTGTATGATCCTTCATCTGGAAAACGATTGGTATCTGGCAATGACTGGGGACAGATTCTGTCACAAGGAGGCTGGAAGGCTGACATCTTATGCATGGCATCCAGAATGTTGTTGCCAGACTTCCTATAACACAGAGACAAGGGCAGGATGGCGGCCTGGGGACAGGTGTGGAAATCGCCCAGCTCAGCACTTGGTGGTTTGTAGTGATAGGGAACTGGAAGGTTGGCCTGGAAGCCTCGGGATTTACCTGAGGTCTGGATCAAGATTTCTCAATTTTGTGTTTGTTGCTTTGTGCCTCCTAGGCAGGTGGTCTAGTATTGACCCACACTTCCAGCTCTTTTTTTGCAATGTTTATTTTTTGATAAGATCTTATTTTCTGTCTAGACAGTGATCCACCTATTTTAAACTTTCCATTGAAGCTAGGATGACAGGTGCTTGTCACCGTGCCCAACTTCTTACCTTGAGACAGAATCTCCTGGTCTTTCTACCCAAAGCTGACTTGGAACAGCAATCCTTCCACACTCAGCCTCCTAAGTAGCTAGGCTTACAGGCCTGAGCCACTGGTACCCAGCTTGGTTTCTCAGTCTTTCATGTACACATGAATCACCTAGGTTCTGATGAAATGAAAAGTTGGATTTGTAAGTGTGAGATGGAAACTAAGATCTTAAATTTGGGGCAAACTCACAGATAAAGATAATGTTGCTGGTCAGATTTTGAGGAGCAAAGACCTCTAGCACTTGAGTAAAACAAGCAAGTTGATCCCAGAGTGTGACAGAGCTGAGCTGCTTCGGGATGGCCCTGCATACCGCAGTCCTGATCCCTGGTGACTATCACACCAGCTGCCATTTATTCAGAGGACCTCCTCACAGTGTGGGCCTCATTCAAATCCTGCCTGGGATGCGCTGAGTCTTAGCTTTCTAGTGCATACAGTTCAAGTATGCAAATTATAAATGGGAGGACATGGGAGAGGGGATAAAGATGATTTAGATGGGGCTATCTTTGCTGAGCTGGCTCACCCAATTCTCTCCCCTCTCATGGAGAACCGAGTGCTTGCATCCTGACTAATTACTAGTCTGTGATTTCATCCACAAGTGTCCTAGCTCAGACCCAGGGCTGGGGGACTGTGGGGAGAATCCCATTTGTCAAGGAGCAGAGGTAACTGGGGTCTTACCTTGGCGGGAAGGGTCGGGTCCACGTGTCAAACTTCTCCTCCATCAGCACCTCCTCCACCTCCCTGGTCCTCCCCACATCAGGAAGGATGAAGACAGCAGTGAGTCTGCAGGCATAGGGCAACCGTAGGATATGGCTATGCAGGCTTGAGCGGTGCTGGAGCTGGAACCAGCCCAGCCGCTGCATGGTGGGCACTTGTACTGTGAGCTCCTCACTCACCCAGAAGGGTCTGATCTCAGTGAGCTTTGGGTCAAAGCGATATTTCCATTTCCCTGAAATCAAAGGGAGACAGATGCTCAGGCTGCCAGCTGTCAGCTGCCAGGTACCACTTCTGTGGTCTGAGATACAGGCATACATGAGAGTCTAGGGGAATGCAAGGAGCAGGGTAAACAAGGAGACTGATGTCTGTCATGGATAGAAATAAAGCTAGTTACATTGCTTGATATTATTTTTCCAAGTCTTTCCATTTCCTTACTAATGGTACAATATCATTCTTTCTGATGGATGAGTAGAATTCCATTGTGTATCTATACCACATGTTCTTGATCCATTCATCCACTGAGGGACATCTAGGTTGGCTATGGTAAGCAGTGCTGCAGTGAACATGGTTGTTCTGGTGGCTTTAGTGTGGCCTGGGTTGTGGTCCATTGGATAAATGCCCAGGAGTAGGATTGCTGGGTCATGGGGAAGCTCTATGTTTAGTTATTTAAGGAACCTCCATACTGCTTTATATTAAGCAAAGGAAGCCAGAGTCAAAGAAACACAGGCTGCCTAGTTTTCCTCATTTGCAGTAACCAGAATGTGCCTATAAATCTACAAGTAAACACGTTGAATGATTAAAATAAACAGATAAAAAAAATATATACCTGTAGGCTAGTGACCCCTTCTCTGACATCCTGTGGAGAAGCTAGAAGGCAGGTCTGTGAGTTTTAGTGCTAGGAGAGGGTGAACCCACTCTGTCTCCCATGAGCCAGCTTCCTGCCTTCCTACTCTGCTAGCTAAGGCTCTAGGCAGGAACTAGGATGTCTGGATCCCCAGGGACATGTGGTGAGCCTTTCAGGGCAGTAGGGATGAAGCTATGGGCTCCAGCTAGTACAGGAGGTGCTGAGGAGAGCCAGGCAGCTGATCTTCTGAGCTCTGAGTCCTCACAGTGGCCAGCTGCAGCAAAAGCAAGTATGCTACAAAACTGTATACTGTCTTGGGCAAAGGAGCCTCTGTGCTTGCGGTAGTATTCAGAACATCACAGTACCGTGTGTCCTCAGAGAAGGAAGAATACAGGAGGGAGGCCTGGTGACCCCCATCCGCAGGCTAACTGACCTGTCCACTGAAGGCTCCTCTTCCCCAGGCTCTCTCTTCCCCAGGCCATTCCTCTCATGAGCACCAGGCCTACCTCCCACTGGCTGTCTGGCTACCTCCATTTGAATGTCCAGGAAGCATGGCCCAAACTGCAATGGGAAGAATCTAATAGAGGGTTTCCAGTTAAACCTGAGTGGCAGAGACACGATCACTATTGAATACAATGATGTCTCATTTTGTTGGTATTCCTAAAGCCGACAGCCTCCTCTTTTAGAGGAGCTGGTCAGGAGTTGATTTCTGAGCAGGCTCTGCAGGGCGTGCCCTTTCTGGCTGGGAGAAGTGAGGAGCCAAGGACACTTCAAACAATGGCAGTGGCATGTTAGGGCCAGCAGGAGCCAGGGCTCCCACAACTCAGGGCAGGCCTGTCTTGGTGGAGGGAGGGTAGGGTAGCGTGAGCAACGAGAAATGTAGGTGAAGAGCCAGCTGGGCCAGGTCTCATTTTCAGCCCCTCTGGTTCCTGCAAGACATTCTAAGGGGGCTCCATGGGGATCAGGGGCACTGAAAGGGTCTAAGCTGAAATACAAGGTCAAAGAGAACAGTCAACCCAAATTGAGCATGGAGAGTGGGCTAGAGGTACTGAGGAGGAGGCAAGCTGCAGACAGAAAGGCCTGCCGAGGAGCAGTTGCAGTGGTTTTGGTGAGAGATAATGGACTTTGGACTAGAATAGTGACCACTGGACAGAACAATGGTCAGTGGGAAGGGAGGTCCGATGGGTGAAGACCATGGCTTGTAGACTCTCTTAGCCTGACTAGTTAGTTGGGGGATGGTGTAGGATGGACTTTGAAGTACTGGATTGGGCTGAATTTGGGGCTGAGTACTGCGATTTGGAAGAAAAGGAGCAAGAAAAGACAGCTTTAAAGGGTGGAGGAGATAGAAGGAAGAAACTCTTCAGGCTTGGGACATGCTAAGCTTGGGATACTTTATATAGAAAGAGGTGACCAGGTGGTTGGTAGGGTGTGGGAATGTAGACAGAGTTGGAGGCTCCAATTGAGAGGTTAGAGGCTGCCAGTGGCCCAGATGCCTGAGAGACTCACATAAGAAAAACAGGCCCAGGAAGAACTCTATGGCATATCAACATGGGAGTGGGCTGCATGTGAGAGGGAGAAAGACTGGGGCAGAGGGAGGGTGAGGTGGGTCAGAAGGCCACAGGGACCCCAGGAGAGGGGAGCATCTGGAGGTATGTCAACCACACTGCCAGATTCAGCCAGGCACCATGAGTGTGGAAGGGTAGTCAAGAGGGTCTTTTGTGCAATGGGTGGGAGGCACTTGGTCAAACCATGTGGGACCAGAGAGTAATGGAGCTAGAAGGGAGACTCACGTGCTATGGAACAGGAGGTAGCATGGCCCAGTTCACGTGGGCAGGGCTGACTTCAAGGATGATATAACCCTGGCGATCTCACAGTGATCTGCAGGGGGTTTGCTGTTATGAGGTCACGGCTCTGCAATTTGGGGGACTGAAGAGACCCACCTAGTCATCTGTTACTTGGCCTTGAAAATTGTGTAGTTGGTCCAGGATGAAGGTTCCTCCTTTGAAAAGTTCGGTTGTATCAGAAAAGGGAGACTAGGGGATTATAGCTATAAGGGGAACTAGAGTTTGGTTGTTCAGAGGAAGGTTGCAGAAGAGAGAGGCTGAAGAGATGGGAGAGAGAAGGGAATCCACAGAATGAAGCCTTGAAGAGGCCCAGGAAAAGCAATGTAGGGTGAGGAAAGGAAATTGCATCTTGGACAATGACATGTGAAGAGGTTTTCACATGGCCAGTAGAGGTTTATTTACCTTTAAAGAAAATATAATTGGCCAGGATCATGACAGAATGTGACTCCAGGTCCAGAAGAAGGTTTTTGATCTTGCCGTGGGTTTTTTCCTGCAAGGCTGCATCAACCTGTTGCTTGACTCTCTGAGTGTTCCCCAGGGAGGCAAGGAAGACCTTGGTGTGGTACAGACTCTGGGCTGTCTGAACAAACTTTTGCTCCAGGTTTTGATAGCTGTTCACAAACAGCACACTGCCCGTGTTCACCTGGCACTTCCCAGGGGGCGGCAGGAGAGCTTGCAGGAGCTGGCCGTAGTGTGTGTGGGCCTGGGCCTTGGGGACCATGGTGAAGTATCCCAGACTCTGTAGGGTGTGATCTCGGGCCTCTGGCTTGGCCTGGAGGGCCAGCAGTGTGAGGGGAATGGAGAAGCTGAGTGGAGAAAAGAGCACATTGGTGCCTGGGTTGGAGATTACCAACTGGATGTACAGGCTGAATGCAAAGCTCCAGTTGTTCAGGAAGGAAGCAGCCTTCTGATTCTCTGATATGGAAGAATTTTCCTGGTCAGGGATCCCTTGGCCACAGGCATGAGGATCCAGATTGACCACCAGCAGCCAGAGGAACAGAATGGGGTGCGTCATCCTACACAAAGAAACAGTACCATCACCCAGTTCAGCCACACAGCACAGCAAGGCCTGTCACCCCCAAAGGCTTCCTACTGCTCTGTCCTTCCACCAAGGGCCCAGATGGTTGGTTAGCTTAAATGGAGAGCAGCGAGTGTTTGGATACACTGGGCTTTGGAGTCAGGCAGACCTGGGCTGGGGGCTTGACTCTGAATCAGGAAGGATGTAAGTGTCAGGGATGAATGGAGGTAGGGCTACCTGTTGCTCGTCACTGCCTGAGGCCTGCTGGGAGAAGAGACTGCGTGGAATGCAACAGATGTGCCATCAAACCACACATGTGCAGAGAGAATGCAGTCAAGAATTGATTGGCTATACTACAAAATTAAGGAAAGTAAGGGAAGGGGTAGGTAGAGGAGGGATGCGAGGGGTACTGGTGGAGATGCATTGTATTCACAAACTGCTTTGTTAAGTGGCAACTCCTCTATACAAGTATTAAAAGATTAAAAAAAAAGAAGTTAAAGAAGTTAGTTACTGTTTAGAACAAGGGCTAAAAGCCCCATTGACGATGTTAGGAAAACAGCCCTCCTACCACTCTGCAGGTGTTTGTAGCTTGTGGTCAGAATGTTTCCCTGCTCTGATTATAATCCCCATATACCCACAACATAGAGTCAAAGCACTTGTTCATCGGCTCACCTGATCTGGCTGCCAGTCTCCGGCCTAGGTCCTCCCTTGTGCTCTGCCGGTCGGTCTGTGCTGCCAGGATGTCCTGCCCACCAGTTTCCTCTCGGCTTTGATGGTGAAGTCCTGGAAGAAAGAGAGAAGCCAGGTATTTGTCCCAGTCCTCAGTGTTTCTTCGGCTTTATACCTCTACCTGTCTTGACCACAGGTTCATCCTGCCCTGCTCCAGCTTTCTCTAGCTTTTCTTTGCTCCTCCTGCTTAGGGAAACTCTCTGCTTTAGCCCTCTGTGTGACACCTCTGCATGTCTATCTCCCTTTTTCCCTTAATGCCTTCTACACTTCTCTCTGTATTCTTTTCCTTAAAGTTCCGTCCCTGAACCTTCGGAGGAGGGGCTCACAACCCATCTCTTCAAAAAACAAATTGGTCCCAGGTAAGGGAAGAGGCCTCTTCAAAGTCAATGGTCAGCTAGTGGCTAAGTCAGGATTCCTGCCTGGGTCTGCTGCCTCCAAAGAAAGGGGCTTGATTTTATCCATCATCAGCTCCCTATTTCAGAGTAAGGTGCTCCCTCACAATCCAGTCTACATGCACATGACCTCCTGGTCTGTGGGGTATGCTGCCCTGAAGGGGCAGGGGACTCAGCACATCCCCCACCCACATTGCCCACAGTCTGCAGGGGCTAATGGAGTCCTGGGGGCCAGACCAGAGGCCAGCGGCAGGTAAGTTGTACTTACAGGCTGTGTGTCCAGAGTCTGATACACCTTTAAAACTGGCCTCTGTGGGAAGCTGTTCTGGGCTGAGGAGTGGGAGGGCACCAGGGTAACTGCCGATCCTGGGGCTCAGTCATGTGGGAAGGCCGGCTCGTTCCCTCCACAGGCAAATGTCCCAGCAGTGCGTGGTGCTCAGTGATACGTGCAGACACGGAGGAACAGAGACTTCCAAGTTGGGAGGAGTCACACTGTACTGTCAAACTGAGAGAAACTGTCAAGCTGATTAGGGAAGTGATTCCCCATCTTCCCTTATTTCTTCTCTCCCTCCCATCTATCCACTCATCTATCCTTCATCCGTCCATTTATCCATCCATCATCCATCATTTATCATCCATCCATGATTCATCCATGATCCATCCAACATCCATCATCTATCATTCACCCATCCATCCATCCATCCATCCACCTATCCATCTACCCAATAAACCACCCCCCATTCACCCATTCAACCCATCTATCTACTTCTGAAGTACCTGCTATATTGTAAGTGTGACTATGGGTAGGCATTAAAGAGGGATTATGCAAGAGCACCTCTGATAGCTGCCTTCAACACGTAGGTCTCACTCGAAGGCCTTGGTGCCTTTTGTGTCCATCCTCATATTTCTGGAGTAGAGATACAGGCACAGGAAAATTTCTGAAATAAGAGACTCTGGATTGGCTGAAAGAATCCTGGATTGACAAGGTTCTGTTGAACTAACAACATTTAACTGGGATTCACAAAGACAAAGAGGAGTCAGTGCTCAGTGGAGATTCCTGGGAGAGGGTGGGCTTGAGATGCTCCCCAAGGAGGGGCAGGTAATTCACAGTGAAAAAGAACAGACAGGCAACACTGGCTAAGCAACTCCGGGCCATGTCCTCAAGAACTTAGCGCTTCATTGTGTTCATACCATATTCCTCCCGGCCATCATCTTGGCTCCCTTCTCATAACACCAGGCATAAACAGTATTTGATTTCACCCTGCACCAGAATCAACTCCAAATGGATCAAAGACCTTGAAGTCAAAGCAGACACTCTGAAAATATTACAGGATGGAATAGGAGAAACCCTAGGTCTCCTTGGCTCAGGCTGAAATTTTCTGAATAGAGACCCGGAAACACAACAAATCAAAGAAAGGTTGGACAAATGGGATTGCATAAGGTTGCAGAGCTTCTGCAGGGCAAATGACATAGCTAGCAAGATCAATAGAAAGCCCACGGATTGGGAGAAGATCTTTACTAGCCATACAACGGACAAGGGTCTCATATCTAAAATATACTTGGAACTCAAAAAATTAAACCCCCCAACAACAAATCCTCAAAGAAACAACTGCCCAATAAATAAGTGGGCGAAAGACTTAAAGAGAAACTTCTCTGAAGAAGAAAGAAGGATGGCCAATAGACACATGAAGAAATGTTCAACATCCCTAGCCATAAAAGAAATGCAAATCAAAACAACATTGAGATATCACCTCACTCCAGTTAGTACGGCAAAAATCAAGAACTCTAACAACAACAGATGCTGGAGGGGATGTGGACAGAAAGGAACCTTACTTCATTGTTGGTGGGAATGTAAACTTGTTCAACCACTTTGGAAAGCAGTATGGAGGTTCCTCAAAAGACTTCACATAGAGCTCCCCTATGACCCAGCAATCCCACTTTTGGGCATTTACCCTAATGTTTACAAACAAGACCACACTAAAGCTACCAGCACAACTATGTTTATTGCAGCATTATTTACCATAGCTAAGATATGGAACCAACCCAGATGCCCCTCAGTAGATGAATGGATCAAGAAAATGTGGTATATATACACAATGGAATTCTATGCCTCCATCAGAAAGAATGACATTGCCTCATTTGTTAGGAAATGGAAAAACTTGGAAAAAATTATACTAAGTGAAGTAAGCCAGGCCCAAAGAAACGTAGGTCCCATGGTTTCCCTTATTTGTAATATCTAGTATATGTATGAGTCAAGCGGAAAAGGTCAGATAATGTGATGAACCCTTAGATGTGTATTTTAATGTTTTTTTTCTTTCATGCATGTGTTTCTAACGCATTTATAAGATTATCTCTTTGTTGCTTTGTATGTCCCTCCCCCACAGTATAACTCCTGCTTTCACTATATTTGATGTCAGTATAACTTGTGGAGGAGATGGGGAAAAACCAGTTGTTTAAGGATACAGGTGGACCTGTTGCAACAATGAAAAGTACAAGTTGTCAGGTCCAAAACGAGCTTTACAATGTTAGTGCGGGGGGGGGGGGGGGGGGAAGGGGGGGAAGGGGGGGAAGGAGAAGGATTGGGATTAGGAGGGGAGGGGGGATGCTGGGAAGGGATGTGAAGGGTAAACAAAGGAGGAGGCTGCAATGCTTGGTAAGAAATGTACGCATTATCTTGCCCATGTAACTGTAACTCCTCTGTACAGTATGTTCACAAATAAAATTAAATTAAAAAAAAAACAGTATTTGATTTCCTTATGTAAACACCCAAGCACTGACAGTCCCAGGACTAATAAAGAGAGTCAGAATATGTGTAGAGAGAACAGCTATTCTAAAGTGTTTGCTGAGTGTCATTTATTTAGTAGCATGTGTGCTCTGTATTAAAACCACCCCGTGAGGAAGTTCTACTTGTATTTTGCAGGTAAACTCAACAAAAGCTGAGAAATTTGTTCCAACGCTAACAGCTCATAGAGACTGAGACGAGCTTGACATGCTGAGTCATGTGACAGTCAGATCTTCAGATTTTCAACTGACTGTGGAGCAGGTGATTTCTTGGAAATTGATCCTGGGGTTGCAGAGGTACAGTACTCAGAGGAAAGTAGTCTGCACAGCACCAATTTGAATCTGAGCTCTATAAACACACACACACACACACACACACACACACACTTGCACTGAGGTAAATTTTTCTCAACTTAATAATTTTCCCTAGAGTTTCTTTAGATACCTTTCTTGACATGACCTGGCCAAATTTTTTTTGGGGGGGTCCGGTCGTGGGGCCTGAACTCTGGGCCTGGGCGTTGTCCCTCAGCTCTTCAGCTCAAGGCTAGCGCTCTACCACTTGACACCTGGCCAAATTTTTAACTAATACATCAATGTCAAGCAATTAGTAGGATCTGTCTGGGAGAATGGAGAACAGGTTGAGAAAGCATTTGAAAGTCCTTGTCTTCATGGGAGAGCATCTTGATCTGTTAACCATGACTGTTGGGAGATGGGCAGAAGAAATAGTGAGATAACTTGTAAGCAATACGGATTAATCCTGTTCTGGAATGTTGTACAAAGACTCATGACTACAGTGAAATACTTGAAGCAGGGTAGTAATAATGAAGAGGCTCAGGAGCATGGTGTTGACATTGGCTCAGTTCTGACCATGTCCTTCTTGCTGGCAGTCCCAAGAGAGCTCAGAACATTATATGACAAGACACCAAAATCATACATGTCTGTTTGTATGATTAGTTTCTCTTTCTCTTCTGACCTGGGGAGATCTTGAGGCTTCCACCCTAAGGATCTTTTCTAAACCTAATCACCTTTAAGCACCATTGTTGGATTTAGTTTTCCCCTTCTTAATTCCATGACCATGAAATATTAGGGATCCATCTTTTGAATGGAGGCAGGGACAAATCATGTTCAAACTATTCCAGATATATAGGAGTTCCAACAAGGGAGAAGATAGTAAGGTGGTACTTAAAGTTGAAGTTACTAAAATTTAGGACCAAAGTCCTAGTGAGGATCATGGGTCTGTCTCTGGGAGAGGGGGTATGGAACAGTAGGACAATTCATGATATAAGACTCCATAGAGTAAAAGATCCCACATGTTTACCACATGAAAACCCTTAAAAAGTGAAAAAGGAAGTCAATTTCTATCCAAGAACAAGATCAGACTCAGAAAACCTAGGACCTAGCCATCCTTTTAGAGACCCCATGTGACAGGATGGCAAATGGTTTCCATCTAGGCTGCCATCTTGGATCTATTATAAGGATTCCCAGATCATTATCCTGGGGATTCTGAAACTGAGCAAAGAAAGAACTAGAATCATGGTGGTTATGTTGGAAACACACACAGGGCACTCCAGTGTCAGAAGATATAGACACACAAGAGATACAGGAGTTTTCATCAAGGTATTTTGCTTCTGTAAAGAAGAGTGATCAGCTGCTCTTCCCAGAGCGAGGCAGAATGATAGACCAAAGGAGTAACCCAAAGGGTGACATTATCTCTTTTGTTGCTAAGGAGTCAGGCTCACATATTTTTACAATTGGTTACCAGGGTGATAAGGTAATACAAGGAAGTTAGAGAGCACTCTAACCATTAGTAAAAAGGCTCCTACTTGTTGCAGGGAGGGGGAAGGCTGTCCTTTTGGAGGCAAAGGTGCACATTTTTCTTCTCATAGCTGGGTAGGAATGGGCCAGCTGATGGTTACAGTTGGAGGAGGTTGGTAAAGTCAGTGGAAAGTTCCCACTCAGTTGGGGGAGTGGTACTCTTTAACCTGGTTGGTAAGGACTCATACCTTTGACTTGACTGGCTGATTACAAACAATACAGATGATAGTCACAACTGAAGTCAAGAAGCAGAGAATTCCAAGAAACATCAGCGCCAAGGAACATCAGTACGGAATGGTAACTGGTTAAAGGACTGAGAGTTTAGTTTGACAAAAGTGATTGCTTTTCCCCTCAATTACTAATAACTCTATTCAGAACAGAAGGAATGCCACAAAGTCCAGGTGCTTGCTACTTTTAGTAGCATCTAACACTCATGTTAGAAGTAGAGGTTTCAAGAAAGATTTACCAAGAGCTATACCTAGCTAAAGCTAAAGCAGAGTGAGAATCTGTATTCTGTCTTGTTCCTTATGATTTCACAGTTCTCATGGGGATAAACATCTGCTATCAGCTGAATATTGATTCTGACCTTCACCATTGGTGACCTGTTTATTGAACAAACAAGCCTTTGAGCCTGTTTACTAATCCTTATGAAGCTTATCCAGCCCAGCTTCAGGATTCCCATTTCCATTTCTTGAGCAACTACTGTGA